AAAAAAAAAAAGTTTAATGAGCTATACTTTAGGGGAAACCCATGATGGAATGGTTCTAACATTTTCACTATCACAATACCAATTACAGGGAAGTCTCTCTGTGTGACTTAGTTCTTTTTCTTTCTTTTTTTTTTTTTTTTTTCAAAAAAAAAAGAAGAAGAAAATACGTGTGTTTTAGCTGTTATGCAAGATAGCATAATGACTATATACACAAATGAGAATGTGATACATGAATACTTACATATTATATCTGTGAAATAAACACTCTATAAATTATACTATTCACCCTGTTCTTCTTTTCTCTTTTCCCCAGTTAATTTGTAGTCATTTATGTGCCCACTGTGCTGTGAACTTGGTACCATTTTTTTCCATCTTCATTTCCACAACTGTTACTTCAACTCAAGTTACCATTAAAATTATTGCTACTAAATGTCGATAAGCTCATAACCGATACCTTGTTATATCTTCATTCTAGTTAAAACCATCACTTACATTGCTTTTAAAAATTCAGTGCCTTTCTCTTGCCTACATATTAAATTTAAACTCTTTATTTGAAGATCTTCTATAAGGTGAACTAGCTTACAAACCTAGTTTCTTAGGTCACTATCCTTTCTCCCATTCACTGTTCCACACATCTTCTGTATTCCCTTTGCAAAAGCTACCTCATTACTGCTCCTATACCTTTAAATTTTTCTCCCTTCCTAGAATGCCACCTCCTTTTTTACTTCCAGCTTAGCTACATCTCTTCTATGAAAAATCAGTTCACACTGACTCATTTCCTTTCCCTTCACACCCTTAAAAGTGGCTTACAGTTATAGTACACTTATACTCTCATTGTTTTATGTTTATCAGTCTTGACTTAGAGAAGAAACTATATTTATACATTGCTTGTATCCTCCACTGTACCTAGCACAGTCCAGAGTATATAGTAAGAAGTCATGCATTAGTCAGTTCCTTACTTGGCATAATTAATTAATTAATAATTATAACTATTGCATATTGATAAAGCTTTCTTTGCCATGTGTTTTTCCGAGTATTTTATACACATTATGTGATTTATTTCTCACAGCAAGCGTATAAGGTCAGTTTTATTTACCCTGAATTTTGCAGATTAAGGAATTGTGAGGCTCAGTTTAGTTGCCCAAGGTCACTAGTTCAGAACTGGTATTAGAATTGAGGTTGCCTTACTTTTACTGTTTCAGTAGAAGTACACTAGAAGTAGAAAACCACGGGTCCTTGAAAGAGTTAAAGAGACAAAAAATGTGGGTTTATGGAACAATTTGAAACAAAAGTGAGTTTTATACACACACACACACACACACACACACACACACACACACACACACACTTACAGACACATGAGCACTGGGAAGACCATAAGTAATCAGTGGATAGATTCCAGCTTATTTTTATGATTGTTTTCTTAAAAAAAAAAAAAAAAGAAATCATTGTCTGAAGTAGGGATAGGAATAAAGGAAGGGAAAGGGAATAGGAATGCAATATTTTAAGTAATATAAAGAGTAGAAAACCTAATGATCTGTGGAATTGGGGAGCTTTAGAGATTAAAATAAATCGATAACACAAGAGTTTCAAGGTAAGAGTAAATTTACTCTGCAAGGCAAAACAGTTACTCTGTTAGTCTGGTTAACCTTGTGAAGTGAGTGCTCTCTTTAAGCTCTAGCTTTTTATGCTTAGGATCTCCCAATTTGTTTCTGATGTTTAGAACAACCTAACTTTTTCATAAAAGTATATTTATCATAATGCACCTTATATTTAATTCTGGGTTTATCTGCAATCTTTTAAAGAAAAATGGTAGCCAGATTTTTGTTTAAAAAATTTGTATAGTTAAGATGCAGATACACACACAATTATAGGTGTATCTATCATGTGGAAGTGGGTTCTGTAATTCACAGGATGCTTTTAAATTCAGGTGGCCTTCCAATTGCCACTACAGTCTATGACCCTTCCATCTCAACAAGATCAACCAGTCGTTTCGTGATTGTAGATCTCATTCAATACAAATAACTATTGTTATTCTTGATTTTGGTTCAAGAGCATGTAATAAGTGAAATAAAATATTCATCATGTGTTGATTCCCTTGTTATAAAATTAGTCAGCACACACATACATAGATAAATGAACTTAATTTTTTTAAAGGTTGTATTAAAATAAGTCACAGCAACATTTTTTTTTTCTTTTTGGTATGTTGCCCAGCCTTACATAGTAGCCAGCTATGAGAAATATAGTTAGCTTCTTTGAAACTACTGAAATTTCCTCTTACCTTGTGAATTAAGTTAGGACCCAGAAGTCTTAAAATTTCTGGTTTATTTTACCTGTGCAGACTTGAAGTGTGTTAGATTCTCTGAGACTTGAGGCCTTTTTAATGCTTCTGTAATATAATGTAAATTTAAGGAACACATATATTTCACACAAAATAAAATGTATTAGAAATAGGTATTTCCTACTTCCAAAACTTGGTGAAGCAGGAGAAAGCCAAATATGAGGAAAGGGATGTGGGAGATTGAGAGGAATGAAGAGCTACCTAAATGTTAACCATACTCTGATTGACTAATATGCATCTGACATTTTCATCATAAATTACTTTAGATCTCTATAGTCCATAAAAGTACCAGCAAAGTGGGTGATACCATACTGTTCTTGTAAAAATATTTAAATGGGTCTATCTATTTTACAAATATAGGGGTTTTTTTCCTCAAAAGCATCTGTTAGGACAGTTTAATTAAGATAAACCTTAATTTTATAATTAAAAAGATAAAATAATGCATTTACTTGAATGAGGAAAGAATGTGTATGACATTTTTTATTCCAAGTGTATGTCATCTGCAACCTTTAATTTCAATAAAGTATTTCAGAGTATGTTTATGCTTGTATTTTCAGTTATAGTTCTTATACTTCTTAGAAGTTGGGGGTCTGTCTATAGAGATTGATATTTGAGCGTTGAATCACCTTTTGAGTGATTGTTCCATCTATTTAATTGTCTAAATAACACAAATAGTCAATATATTTTCAAATTATGAAATAATTCTTTAGTAATCAAATTAAAATTTTGCATAGTTACTTTGTTCACATTTTTCTTTTTACCTACAGACATTAAAATATCTCATCAATCTTTAGGAATTATGAGGCTCTCTTAAATTCAGTGTATACTAAACCAGTAATATAGATTGTTAGCTTCTAAGAATAATACCCACTGAAATAGTTTTTAAGGACAAGGATACAATATATAATATAAAATGAAATTTATAATATATAATATAACTATCCAGGCTATTTTTAAAATGTTTTTTTTAATTCAGTATATGAAATTTAGTACATATATTTGACTGGACAAAATTTTACTATGCAAAGTGGTGTCTTGGGATGTTCATTATTTTTTTAGTAACTTCATAAACAGCTTAGGATGAGGATAAAAAATACTATTTTTCTGAATTGTAGAAAATAATGCAAATGTTTTTAACACAAGAGTGGAAAATGGATCAAATCTGATACTTAAAAAAGTGATAACTCCTATTGTATTTGACATCATAACCTTTTACTCTAATTTATGCAATCTAAGACTGATGAATTAAATCATAAATTTTTCTTTCTCACAGACTGAAATAAAGAATATAATTATTACAATTTGTGTGCGTGCACACACGCACACACACACAGAACTTGGAGAGAAGGAACACTCATTGTTGATAGTACAAATATATTCCTCTCATGCTTCTTTGTCTGAAATACATCTTATGTTATTGTCATTTTTAAAAAACCCATAATTTTATCAATAATTTTAATGATCTGTTTCATTTAGACCATAGTATTTGGAAACTGTGAATAATGTATGTATATTTTCATGTAACTTATGCCTGCCTTCAGTTTTCAATATTTCATTTCTAAAGAGACCTCACTTATCAGGGTCTCTGGCTTATCCTGAGCAGTTTTATCCTTTTGAAATTTCTTTCAGAGAAAGATCAAGATAAGCTATGTCACAGTACTTTCCTTTGAGAGCTTTTTTTCTTTGGTATCAGTCTTTTTATTACAGAAGTTATAGCTTGAATACACACACACACGTTAATTTCTTTTCCAACCAGATCTTAAAATTTTCACAAACTGCTAAATGGAGACAAAAAGAGAATTAACCTAAATATTTGAGGTGACTATTTGAATCTTAAGCAACCTCCTTGTTTAAGATACCCTATCATATGACAATTATTATCAAAGTGAAATTTTCTTTTATTATTAAATTGATTTGTTGAAGAATTTTCTACTGGTTATTTAAGAAGAATTGCTATGTGGTGACTTAGTGGAAGATTGCCTGTTTCAGACAGAATTCTTAAAACCCTAATCCTCAAGATAATTTCAGGTTTGTCTGTGTTTATATATCATGACAGAAAGTGGACTTCTGGCAAGCATCCAGTTAATATTTTTCAGGGTAGGTAGACTGACCAGATAATGTTTTTCAAATACACTCCTTTCATTCTCCTCAATGGCTTTTTTGTATTTCTATACAACCAATGATTAGGGAAAAAAAAAAAGTTACAGGTGTCCATTGCAACAAGTCAAAAAACGGAGGTATTACCACACTTAAACCCATATGGATAGTAAGAAAATTACTTTGCATATGAAGCTGTGTCCTTTTGTAGCTCACTGTGCCCATTTTAAAATGGAGCAAAAAGAGGTCTTGACCGAATATGGGACATGCTTGTCTTCCCCAGACATTGGGAAAGAGTAAATATGAATGACTGTTACTTGTTTTGAGTCCATGGACATCCTGAAGCTGAAATCCCTTATATGTGGTATCTGTCATTTCTCCCCAGAGAAGGAAGTTGTGAACATTGAGGTGACAACTTCTTTCTTTACATGTTCCAGCGCCGTAAACAAGAACACCCGCAGGAAAACTACCACGTCGGAATAGAGGTCCTTCCAAGAGGTGCACTTACTTTATCATTGACGGTCTTTCTTCCCTCTCTCCTCTCTCCCTCCGCCTCCTGTAGCAGCTGTACGCTGCCCAGCTCGCTGCCATGCAGGTATCTCCAGGAGGAAAGCTCCCAGGCATACCCCAAGGCAACCTCGGTGCTGCTGTATCTCCTACCAGCATTCACACAGACAAGAGCACAAACAGCCCACCACCGAAAAGCAAGGTACCCTTTTGAAGAAGCTACATGTCTTGCCATTTAGAGTTTTACTTTTCCTTCGGTTACATTTACTGAATATCTATTATGTGCCTGTAACTGGGTTCACCTCTGGATCTTCAAGGAGACGAGAGTCTGGTAGGATTGATAAGGATCAATAACACACATATATTTAGCCATTCATTCATTCAACAAGCATGCCTGGGTAGCTAGAGTAGGAAACGTGAGTGATACCAAGATTTATTAGATAGATATGCTATACTCAGCTAGCCTACAGTCTTACAAAATAGATAACCATATTCTGTGGTACAAAGTCTTACAGAGTTACAGACAAGTGCTTTGGAAAGTATTGGGACAAAGATGTTACCCTTGATGAGAGATCCCGGGAGGGGTTTTCCAAAAAAGGGGCACCTGAAATACAGCTTAAAATATGAGTACAGACAGGGCATCCAGGAAATGTTTTATTGAAATGTCAGTAACTGTCATAATGAGGAGCAGTACGGAGGTAATTTTAGATACAGCATTCACCCAATGGAATTTCCATGAAAGACATGAAGATAATAATAGTGTTAGAAGTAAGACTATTTAGAAATAGTTTTGTTTGGGGAACTAAGGAAGCATTATTATTATTATTATTATTATTATTATTATTATTTTTAATGAAGACTGGCTCTCTGGGCTTTAAAGATTTGTTTATTTATTTTAGAGAAAGAAAGAGGGCACGAGCATGGGGTGGGGCAGAAAGGGGTGAGGGAATCCTCAGGCAGACTCCCCACTGACCGTGGAGCTCAAAATCCACGGACCCTGAGATCCTGACCTGAGCCGAAATCAGGAGTCGACTGCTTAACAGACGAAGCTACCCAGGAACCCCCAAGGAAACATTTCTTGAGAAAACATGGAAAAGGATTGGAAAGGAAAAGAGTCAAACAAGTTACTCTTCATCCTGGAAGAGAAAAGCAGAAAAATATAAATTTGAAATGTTTTTGTGTTTGTAAGATCTCAAGATCTTAGATGATAATGTATTAAACTCTCTGTGAAAGAAGATGGAAGAGTAACCATAAAGTATTTTTCCCTGAGATTACTCAGGGAAAAGACCACACATATTTTCTATTAGAAAGTATTAAGGAGAAAACTGACACAGGTAATTTACCCTCAAAATAACAATGTTTTGTCTTTTGCTGGATTACCTAGAAAATTGTTCCTGTTCTCCCTTCCCCAAATGCCATATTGGAAGTATCTAAAGAGTAACAGGGTTGAGAGTAGCCTCAACAGTTGAAAGAAATACACAGAGAAAAAAATTTAGGAAGTATTGAAAGAGGAAAAAAAACTCCCAAGAATTTATTTTTAATCCTGCTCTAGTACCCTGACAGATGCCTTTCACAGTTAATGTATTAATTCAGAGGGTGAATTGGGAAGGCAAAGGGATCATTTGAGAACGTGTACTCTGGCTTCCATCTCCCCAAAACTCTTGAGGCCTTTTCGTATTATTAAGAGGTAAATACATTTCAGAGTACAACTTAACTTGGACAAAGAACTTTGACCGGATTCACCAGAAATATGTGCAAATATGTAGTTCAAATTATTGTCCCCACTGCTGGGACATTACAAAATGTACAAACTCCCCTTTTAAGATCTATTCCAGCTGTGTAGTGGGCCTTGCATGTTCTGTGCTTCATGTACACCAAAGATCAGGTCTGCTTTTCTTTATTATCACAGTAGAACATAGTTTTTAAAACTTGGTAATAATTATAACATTTGTTGAATAAAATGTAATTTAATTTTTTAAAGATTTTATTTATGTATTTGACAGAGAGATCACAAGTAGGCAGGCAGAGAGGCAGACAGAGAGGGGGGGAATGCAGGCTCCCTTCTGAGCAGAGAGCCCGATGCAGGGCTCGATCCCAGGACCCTGGGACCATGACCTGAGCCAAAGGCAGAGGCTTAACCCATTGAGCCAACCAGGTGGCCCAAATAAAATTTAATTTTAAAGCAATGGTATATTGGGGTCTTCATGGACCAGAAGTTTTTTTTTTTTTTTTTTTTTTTTTTTAAAGATTTTGTTTATTTATTTGTCAGAGAGAGAGAGAGAGCAAGCACAGGCAGACAGAGTGGCAGGCAGAGGCAGAGGGAGAAGCAGGCTCCCTGCCGAGCAAGGAGCCCGATGCGGGACTCGATCCCAGGACGTTGGGATCATGACCCGAGCCGAAGGCAGCTGCTTAACCAACTGAGCCACCCAGGCGTCCCCAGAAGTTTTAATATAGTGCATGTACAAGTTAATTTTGAGTAAAGTAAATAGCTGTAGCAGCAAAGTCACTGTCACACACAATTCTGTGAGATATTATTGTTTTTTTAACCTTGATTTATTAATGTGATTTCACATCATGTTTCATAATAATGCTTTACATTAGGACATTCCATTTTATGATTTTAGAGTATATACTTCACTTGTAAATATCTAATGGGATTTTTCCCTTACCTCTTGAATAACTTTTGATCATTAGTATCTTCTCCCCAAATTACTTACCCAATAATCATGAAGCTTTTGATGTCAGTCAGCCGCTTATGGGTCTATTCCTTCACTCATTCATCCATTCAAAGGTTTACTGAGCCGTTGCTACAATGATAGTTTCCTTCAGTAACCATGGCAAACACCCAAGTGTTTGAAGGTTGACTTTGCCAAGACTGGCACACCGCTTTCTGAGTTGTATGGCGCTAGTTCATAGAACCCAATAGACTAGGTGCAAAGCATACAGATACCTATCTCAGTGAGAATCTTCTTCCATTTTCTATAGTTTCATATACCTCCATTTTTCCACACTAGTGAAAAAGTAAATTATGTTTCTATACCTATGGTTATACATGATTTTAAAGCATATTTTACAGGTTACCTTTAAAATTCAGTAACTTTTTAAAAATAAGCCTTTGTGAATTTCCTATCATGTAAAATCTAAGAAAGCTTTAGATGTATTTCTTCCCATTTGCAATTGGGTAAAATGCATAAAAAGTTTGACCAACAATAAAGTGCCTCTTTTTAGGTAATAACACAATTTGATAAAAATATGTCCCTTCTTTGCTCAGTGTCCACTATCATACTGTCTACAACCACTCTTATTGTTAGAAAAGATGTCTTAAATGAGCTTGTGTTTTAGCTCAAGACATTAAAACTAAACCAATAAATATTGCTGTTGTCATTTTAATGAAGAACATGGCCAAAAAGATAGAACCAACAGTAAATAAGGAGGACCCATTTCAATACGTGAATTTAGTATCTTGTAGCTTGACATTTATACATGGCATTATAAACATTTTCACGTCATAAAGCTATTTTACTTATATGAAATAGCTATCGCTTATTGTTATAATTGTATTTTTAAACAATCAATTCTTAGTGTCCTGGGGGTATTTTTCTGTGTGTTTTATTGGTGAATTCTGTTGTCTATTTTACTATAAAATAGAGTTATTTTATTAAGGGGCTTTATATGACTGCATACCTAGCCAGTGTAAACCAAACTGATGGTTTATGTTTAAGATCTATTTATTGTTTGGGACAATGGAATTGTCAGTCACATCTAGGTGATGATATAAGAAAAATGATCAGCCATGTTCTCTGGGTTTTATTGCCTGCCCTTCTTCCTAGGTGTGCCTTTGCCTTTGACTCACAACTCTAGAGAAGGACACAAACAAAACTTATTTGCAATTTGCAAAAAATGGAAGGGGGGGAATCAAAAGGAGGGGGCTCCAAAAGACTGTAAAATTGTACAGCATGAGTCCTCTGATGCATGCTGTTTTCAATCTGCTGTGTGCCAGTTGGAGGCTTGGGGAGTGTGTGCGCGCACGAGAAAGGATAATGCTGAGAAATGATAGAGTGGCTGTGACCTCCAAGCTCAGCCTGGAAATCCAAGACATTGATTTCACTTAGCATTCCTGCTGAGAAATCTGGCAGAGTTCAGTTGTAATAAAAGAACAAGATTCTGTTCTAATGGTAATGGCGTATGACAGACATATCACTTTGTCTGTCCTCAGCACCGGAGAGAGGAGAATTGGAGAAAGGTCACCTGACCTGCCTGTGGTGTTGTACGAGTGCTGTACTGAGCTTTGAACTGCCGCCTAGGAACATAATTATTTATAATATTAAATGATAAAGAAACCTTTAGAGGGTTCACAGTGAACCTCTAAAAAACAGCAAACAGGAATTGTGTTCTGTAAATATAAAGACACAAAAAGAAATCTGGTCTCTTCAAAACCTGCATTGGAGAATATGGGGTAGTGTTGCATGTTGAGTGATATGTCCTTGAACTTACTGTTTATGAACTATTTTCATCAATACCTAACATATTGTCATTGTTTAATCTTTCTTTCTTTCTTTTTTTAATGCCTCAATTTTATTGGGAAAAAGCCAAGAATCTATTTAGCCAACAATTAGAAAATTAAGGTCATCAGCAGGTTTTTAAAATTTCTCAGGTGTTACATACAACCCTTTTGAACACATGCACATTTGTCTCTTTAAAAATTAGTTAATTTTCCCCCTCTGGATTCTACTCCAGGACCATTCTTTTCATTAACTAACAAAAAGAAGTATATTTCGCTCTTCAGAGATACTCTCATATCTCCTTGTGTCCTCACAGCTAGCTTATTGTTGAACATTGGTAAATAACTTGGAACAAAAGTATGAAATCAGGAACTTTTGTGTATAAGGGATCTTGTTTAAAGGAAATATTAGAAACATTACCTCTCCTATTAAGGAAAATTATTTGGTTAAGGTATTGTTTAGCTGTATTGGTCCTTAAATCTCATACACAGTATTATTGCTCTGAATCTGTTTAAACTCCTCGACAAATGTTTCAATTGATTTGTTAATAGTGTAGCATTTTGCTACAGGAGGGATTAATGTATTAGTGACTTTCAATTTCCCACCAACATATTTCCTTATTTATAAATGACTTTCTGAATTATTTGTTGCAGTCTTTTAAAAACCTAGATAGCCTTCTTTGTGACAGTAACAAACCTCT